CTGCAGCCCCAGCTTCTTGGGCAGCTGCGGTGGGAGGATCGCTTGAGCCCAGAAGTTTGAGGCTGTGGTGAGGCATGACTGTGCCACTGTGCTCTTGTGTGGGCAACAGAGTGAGTCCCTGACTCAAAAAACAGAAAGAGAGAGAGAGAGCAGGAGGGAGGGAGGGAGGGAGCGAGGGAGAGGGGAGGCCGGGGGTAGGAGGGAGAGAGAGAGGAGAGAGAGGAGAGAGAGAGAGAGAGACAGAGAGAGACAGAGAGAGAGAGAGAAACCCAAGTAGAAGAAACACGGGGCTACGAATCCAGATACCTGCCACTCATTAAACTAAATTCTCCTCCCATTTTGTGATCAATATTTGAGGGCATGCAGTGGTTTCGAAGCATATCTGAGCTTAAAGGACTAGTGAGTCTCAGACTCCACCAGTTCAACTACGAGCAAGGGTTTTGGAGCTTGTGAGGGTTCCAGGAAAGAATGCAGGCGCAGCACCCCCAGGGCGCACTGCAGAGGGGGCCTTTGTGTTAGGGGTGCAAAGGAGCATCTGGGGACACAGAGATATCGGTCCAGGTTAACGCCATCAACAAAACATGGGAGAAGTGACAGCAGTTCAGAGGTGGGCAGGCCTAGAATATAGCTAGAGGCAGCTCTCTGCTCGCCTCATCTTCTCGCCCTGGACAGGACAGGACCCCACTGCCCCCACTCTCTACTCCCTTCTACCACTCTGCCATACCTTAGGCACTTATCCCATTACCCCAACATTACATGAAGCAATGACTCATTTATTGTCTCACCCAACTAGAGTGTCAAGGTCAGAAGAGCTTTGCCTTCGCCTTCAGAAAGGTGAGGTGACCGGAAACTGGTGCCACAACGAGGGCCACTCAGTCTCCCCGAGGGCTAGAATTCGTCTAACAAAGGTTTATGGAGGTGACACAGCAAAGCTGGCATTCTAGAGCGCAGACACAGCAACTAAACAATACCCACTGGGGGGACACAATGTCCAAAGGCGACAATAGGTGTTGAGGAAGAAAATAAAGCAGAAAAAGCTTCACAGAGAAGGTTGCTTTGGAGCAAGAACCTATTATGGGCTTCGTTCGTGGATATTTCTTTATACAAGAGACAAAAGGAAAAGCGAAGAATCAGAAAAGAACACTGCGTGTTTCAAGTTATATCCTGGTTCCCTAGCTTAGGGACTCTATTTCCTCTCCGTCATCTCTAGCGTCACTCTCCTTCCCTTTGTCGATTTTGAAAACAGGGTGATTACTCTTGCTATTCTTTCTACACTCCACATCCAGGGTCCTTTTTAGCAACACTGAAAGGTTAGAGCAATTCACTGCTTAGGGAGAATATCACTGCACCAATGGAATGTCAGCTGATTTTGTCTGTCTCCTTCCTGGCAATGTCTCAAGACATTTTTGATTGTCACAGTTTGGAGGGGGAGGTATTACTTTTTACAACAAAGAATTATCAGACCCCAAATGTCAACAGTGCCCAGGTTGAGAAATCCCAATTTCAGGGAATTAATCTGGGCCTGAAATATCTGTTCCTGACATTCTAGTTCAGGTCCTTGTCTGGAGAGAACAAATGAGTTAGAAAAGAATAGAACTGTAATCTACTTAGCCTGTAATCTACAATGAAAGCAGATTCTTATCTATCTGCAGGATATACCAAGTCCTTCTGGTTTTGAAAAAGAAACTGGTTGAGACCATACCACATCCTGGGAAAACTGGGGAGAGGACTAAATAATATGAAAGTTACACTTTATTTTTTTCTAATATCATTCCTGTGGGGGGAAAAAAGCCTTGAACAGAAACATTCTCTCTTCAAAGAAAACAACCAGATCCAAGTCTGGAGTGAAAGTTCTTTCTGAGGCAAAATCATAAACAATCAGGAGCAGACACACTGACAGTGCATGCCACAGCCTCTGGCAAGACTCAACTTCCTGCCATCACAGAATGGGCTGCATTCAGCACAAACCTTAGTGTCTTTGCACAGGCTGTTCCCTCTGCCTGGAGCGCTATTTGGCAATTACATCCGCGATACTGCAAAGTGCACTCTCCACCTGCCTGTCACAACACCCCAACACTACCGGATTTGTTTCTTGGCCAGTGGCAGGCCTGCAGTGAGCAATCGACAAGACTGTCACCATGAATGATCACCACCATGGAGTAATGCTGCATGTGATGGCCTAAGAATCTTCAGGAGAACTCGCCTGGAGCCTGACTTGTTTTGATGTGGGATAGGACCGAGTGAATTTTCAGGGATTCTCAACCCATTGCTTCAGGTCAAGGGGAAAGTGTTGCTTCAAACAGGCCTAAAGGAATTTCACAACTAATTGCATGGGCATTAATGAACACTCCAGTGAAGAATAAGGCCAGAGAGAGCCTCTAAAATTAGTTTCCCCAAGGAAAGAGATATACTTAAATATGGGAGACAGGTTACATTCAAAACTATTGCGGAATTGTCTCTGGACAATACTTTTTCAATATTAGATGTGGACTATGATGGAAAGGGAAACTTTGTGTTTTGAATCTTTAGCACTTTTACGGAAAGCATTGCCTTTAAATGAAGTTTTCAACAAACAATGATATGATTTCTATTGAAGCCAATGACTTCCTCACAGGTTTTCCTGCTTCTAATCTTGCCACTATCGGAAAACCTTCCAACTGCTACTACTGGACAGACAGCTCTTCGGGCACCCTGGAATGGTTTGAGATGCCCAACAAGCATTATGTCATGCAAATGTCATCTCAACCCTCTGAGCATGCCAATTTCACAGAGAAGAGAAACCTGAGACAAGTGAAAGGCAGAGTCTAGTGTTGCAGCAAAGACTGGCAAGAGCCCCAAAGGAAAGGTGAACCTCAAAAAAAAAACATCTGTAGGTTTGCAGGGTCAGGCCACTCCCATCATGTGAAGCGTCCACCTCAGATGTTTGCCTTGGCAGATCTGGATGATATATCATTTAGGGATTTAGCAAGTTTCCTTAGTCCATCTTCCTCAAATCCTTTAATAAAATCAAGACAAATTAGCTAATTGGTAAACTGCATCCAATATCATAGTATAAACTCACAGTCCCACAAAACTGCTGTTTACTCAGAGGGAGTTCCCACAGCACCACTCTGGTAGTGGCAGGGCCTCTTTTCAAAAAGGCACACAATCTTTCAAACATGCCCGTAAGGGAGCAGACAAGTTGACACAAAATCAAGTTGGGCTAAGTGAAAGAAGTCGGACACAAAACACTACATACTCTCAGATTCTATTTATGCAGGTTTTTAAACATCTAGAAAAGGCTCTAGGTGGGAAAAGGAAATGGACTGCAAAGACCTACAAGGAAACTTTCTGGAACATTGCAAAAGTTTGTTCTTTATCATGATGATGGTAGTGGTTACGTGACTGTATACATTTGCTAAATGTCATCAAAATGCACAATTAAAATTTGTGAATTCTAGTGTATGCTAACTGTACCTGAACAAAACAACCAAAAATACAATGAATAACCAGATTTTTTAAAAAAATAGTTGAGGCTAGCCAAGTGAGCACTGATTGTGGAGAAAAAAAAAGAATTACATATCCAAGCTTATGCGGAAATCAGGTAGCGTAACTTCCAATTTTGTCTTGTCATCTGTAGACCAATATGTCTGTTCATTTCTACATTCATTTAAGCCCAGGCTATTGCAGTTATGATTCGAAATGACAAACAGGTGTGACCACCTCACTCCAAGTGGGATGTAAGGGAGAGGCAATGTGGCAGCAGAAGGCACACTGACCTTTGACTCTGCAAACACAAAATCTAGCCTCAGTTCTGATGACCATCGATTGTTTCCTTGAGCTAATGCCACTCAGCCCGGAGTCTCCAGCTCTACTGTTTGCTTCTTTACCTTGCAGATCTTCGGTTCCCTCATCTGTGAAATTGGAGCGTTTCTCTAAATCCCTGATGTCCGCCTCTTCAGTCATTTATTAATTCGGCAAACATTTCTGAGGCCCCACTTACTCTGGGCACTTAAAATAAGGAAACGAGTATGAAACAGCCCTGCCCTGGAAGACCTTGCAGTCTAGGAAAGAGATTCATGCTGTGACGTCTGAATCTCGGTCTTCAAAAGCAGCACAGCTTTGGCCTGGCTCTCTGTGTGTCTCTCTCTGGACACTTACCTCTTGGCACCTGGCCACTATGCTGTGAGGAAGATCAAGCCACACAGAGAGGCTGCTTTTTGACCTGGCTGATGGCTCCAAATGAGAGCCAGCATCAACGTCCAGATGAGTGAGTGACCTCAAGTGACAATCACCTTGCCGGGTTCAAGCAACCTAAGAACTCTGAGAGATTCTAGAAAGTGGTCAGTGTTTTAAGCCATTGAGTTGGGGAGAGATTTGGTAGCAACTGACAAACACAATCTCCATTTAGGGCATCTCTGAGGACAGGCTAATAGCTGTTTACCAGCCATCGCTGGACTCTGGAGGGCGGAATTACCTCCAAAATCCTTGGATTCCTTGTCCCACCGACAAATGCACAAGAGCTGCCCCCATTTGCACCCTAGCACAAGAGGACCCGCCTAAATGCAGAGGAACAGTGAGTGAGCTGTTTAGGGCCAGAAGTTGGGTGTTACAACCCTGCCTGCCGACCCAACCACAAACACTTCGACAACCCTGCAGACTCACGCTGGATGTGTTCCTTAAAGTCTTTCTGTTACTGTGACTTCCGTCCACGAGGAAGTTTCCCTTGACCTCAATCAGCACTCTGTCGGGGCCACGGCCTCCCCTGTTTTCCACTCGGAAGGGCTGCCCGGGGCAAGCATCCATGGCACCGGAGTCTGCCACCAACTCGGCCGCGCTAGCCCGGTCCCCACCCCACGGGCTGCAGCGGCTTCCAGCTCAGGGCCAGGACTCCCAAGGACAGGTCCCTGGGGACAGACCCCTCGGGTCAAAGCCGCGGACGGGGAAAGTCCCGCGACGGTTGGCGGGGCCCGGAGTCGCGCCCCGGCCCAGTACCCTGGGGACCCGCGGGGCCCGCTCACCTCCTGCCGGTTGCGCTTCTGCAGCAAGTGCTCCAGGTAGAGGTCGGAGAGCGCGGTGCGCATGCTGCCCCCGCCCTCGCCCTCGCTCGCCTTCAGCGTCATGTCGCCGGAGCTGGGACACGGGGACTAGGGACCCACGGCGCTGGGAACGCGAGGGCCCGTGGCCTGCGGGGCGGCGGAGACGGCAGGGACGCGGTGCGGCTGG